AAACACCGTAACAATTCTAGTGTCGATAAATGATGTTGGATCATCGTTATATTATTAAAAGTTTTCTTATGGTTCACAGCGATGAGAAGAATAAGACCATCAATTCGAGGTAATATGTCGATACGGAGAATGTCGAGAATTTTAGATAGGTATATGTATACCTCATTTCACCGTAACACCGTAATATTTCAGGGCCGATAAATAGAGTATAAGTAGATTCCCGTTATAAAAAATAGCCGTTGTCATTAAATCATTACGATTACAGCTGTATAATATTTAATGACGTTCTAACATAAAAACATTAGTGTTGAATCTTTACCTTCATCTGGTACGGATCGGGATTTACATGTAAACATTCAAAATATTCGACATCCATTTTCTGGCAATGTGTCATACTGACCTCCAGTCTTTTGTCATTCTAAGCATCGCTGGTTCACTATGAATAAAATAGTTTATTGTACAACGACGTTCTAATACTGTATACAGTCTCCGAAATATTACGGCTTTCAGGTATGAGGAATGAGGTTTGCATATACTTATTGATAATACTCGACAAACACTCTATCAATACAAAATTTCGATGATGTAATATTATTATACGCATAGCAGGAATCATTATGTTCAAAATATTCTAATATAAAGGACGATCTAATATTATTTATTGAGCCTGAAACTAAAGAGTTTTGGGTATGTGGATAGTGATTTAAATATCCACTTTGAAAATTCTAGACATTCACCTTGACAATACATTATGTCTTTACGATGCTGTAACATTATTCTCTACATCGTGGTGATCATCATGGACAAAGTTTTTCAATACACAACAACGAACTAAAGTTATTTACCAAAATTCTTTGAAATACGAGGATGTTTTAATACGGTTTATCGACTCAGGAGTATTACGGTGTTCCGGTACATGGAAAGCTGTTTACATATAATATTCGATAATTCTCGACATTCTCCGTAAAAATAAATAATCTCGAACTGATTGACCTGTATTATTTCACGCTTTGTAGAGGCAATATAAAAAT